ACACCAGCATTGTAACACAAGGCCTGTCCCTCTTCTGCGTGCCTCGCAATATCACAAGTATGACCCAAAGGGGTGGAGCTTGTGCTGTGACCCCATAACGCTGCTGACGAAAACGGCAGCATCCTGCAGATGCCACTGATTCGAACCTTAGTGCAGAGGAACCAACGTACTTTTGCTCCTCTTACCAAACTCAAGGAGAACGTTGCTATAGAAACACAAGCGGATCAGAGTTTTCATAATAAAATGTGACGGCATAAAATTCCCATTATCAAGCATTTTTCCCCCACCCTGCATGTGGGTTAGTCATAGTCTTTGACTGTGGGACATCATATGAAATTAACACACAGAAGGTTGGTAGCCAGAAAATGGAGACAACCCTCAGCCCAGAAAGAGATTATTACACAACCCCTTTTTAGGACAGGATGGAGGATTGTTTTTCTCCTGAGGGCAGCATTTCCTTGGAGAAAAGTATTGGAGGACATTCCTTCCTTCCTAATCTGACCTTCCCTCTTTCAGTCTCCCACTCTTCTTTCTCTTAATCTTTCTCTCTCCACCTCTTTTTCCTTATCCAGTGAGGCAGGAGTCAGACTGCTCCTGCTGGAAAGCTGAAGAGTCATTGGGAGTCGTGTGGCATATACATTAAATAAATAATAATAATTAATTATAATTAACTGATGGCTTACTAGGGGCTTTCGTATATAGGCTGATCACCAATGATGGTGCCCCTGTCTCCTAAGAAAGTATTACATCTGGAAACTACCAGTCGGACTACCTTTCAGAGCACATTCTGAGTGGCTTCCATTCTGTTTGCCCTGCTAATTCTTTTTTGTCTTGGGCTTCAGCTTCTTCGTCATCTCCCCGGTTCAGTTCTGACCTGGAGCAGGCAAGGCCGCAGACTACTGGTGAAGAGGAGCTCCAGCTCCAGCTTGCCCTGGCAATGAGTCGAGAAGAAGCAGAAAAGGTAATGGCTTTTGTTTTAAACTGGCTTCCCTGGAGCCTGGCAAATGCCAAGGGAGAGTACACTCACTGCCACAAAGGTTGGATGTGAGCTGGACCAAAAAGCCAGGCACGATAAGCTAGAAAACTGGGAGAAAGGGGAAGAATAAAATGTCCTGCTTCACTCCCCAAGGAAGGTTTTGTGGGCTTGCTGGAACCCTGAGCAGGTGCACTTTGGTTAGGAAGCAAATTCCTTTCTTGTAGAAGTATGTATTTTGTTGTGGGTCCATGCATTATTATTTATGTAATAACAAAATAGGACCAACAGCCTTAGGCACAGGCAAGATATCTCCTACTTGTTACCAATTAAAGCTAAGCTAGTTCCATATAAAGAAAGTAGGGATGCAGTTATAGCAGTGTAGAAGACATTCTACATGATTTTAATTGCATTGATTTTATCTTTTACATTCTGTATTTTTGTTTTTTGGTTGTAGCTGCCATAAATGCTGATACAAGCAGAAAGGTGGCAAATAAATTTAATTAAATAACTAAAATACATGATGAAGACAGATTTAATCCCAATATTGATCCCTGGAAGATGTAGTAAGTGTTACACAGAATCATAGGATGTGTCACTTTGAAGGGTTCTTACAAGTCAACTCAATGCTGAATGCAGGATTCTATTTGAAAACCTCCAGCAAGAGGAAGTTCGCTGGTGTTCTAGATAGATTGATCCACTGATTAACAGCTCTTAATTCCTGAAATACTTCCTAAGAATCAAATCTGGTTGCTTTATTAAACAAGCTTTCCCTAACCCAATGTCTTTCAGGCGTGGCCTTTGGGCATTTTGGGTAGGTAGTATGAGGACTGAAGGCAACAGGACTTGAGGACAGCTAAAAAGATTGTTTCAGAGCCAGGGGCATGTGGCGAGGGGTAGAAAAGTCAAGCTGATGCACAACTGTACCATTTGCATAATTGAAGGTCCACTCCTTTTTTGCATGCATGTGACACACATTAAGAAGGGGCAGGCCTTTGATCCCATGGGCGCTTGCCATCTTGTCTTTTTGACTCTGCCCCATGAATAACCCTGTTAGGAGCATACTGAATGGAGGCAAGACAGAGATTTCTGGATGCCTCTGTCTGCAACCTTGTTGAGTTTGGGTTTTGATTTTCTTATGGCTGCTCAAGATAAGGAAAAGAATTTCCGATATCATCAAGGGGTATTAACACTGTTGATTTAACTATCTTTTGTCATGTACACTAACACATGCAGAGTCACCTGGTAATAGTAGGTTATACTGTGCCTTAAATCAATAAGATAAGCTTTTGTAGTGATAGCGTAGTCTACCTCCATCTTATTCTTTATCAGGAGTGTCCTTTAGAAATGTCTTTAAGAAAAATAGAGGACATACTAAGGTCTCCCTCCCCCCTCTTTTTTTAAATGAAGTTCCCTGAAGATAAGGAATAACAATAAGTGTTCTGTGAGTAGAAGGGAAGATTGCAGAACATGCATTTCTCTCCTTCCCCCTCCTGCATGTCTAAAAAATAACTTCTAGAGAATTAGAGGGAGGTTATAAAGCATTATTGGTTTTATTTTATAGGGCTGTAGTGGGAGCTTTGTTTGAAGGGCTCCTATTATTATGTCTTTATTTCTGGCAACTCCCCCTTCCCCCTGAATATATGTCATAACCTCCAAAGTTCAATTGGTTCCCTCACCCTCTGGAGGGATTTTGGAGAGGCCTAGGAAGGAAGAAGAAAAGGGGGGGGGGGAATCACCCTTTTCCTATTTACATAACGTTGGATTTCCTTCAAAAGCTGTGATCTTGTGCAGACTCGATCATTGTCTGACTGTTTCACTGATATAAGTAAGACTTTCTTTTGAGTGCACATATGTATAATTGTACTGCATATTTCTGTATCTATGGTCTGAGAGTTACATATCAGGCACTGAAATGAATTAAGATAAAATGAGACATTATTTAGTGCATTTGTGTGTGTGTGCGTGTGTGTGTCCTGATGAGGTGCAGGCTGGGGATTATGAGAGCTGATGCTCGACATATCTGGAAGGAAGGAAGTTGGGTTGGCTAAGTGAATTCTGGATTTCTTGGCAGGATTCTTTTGTTTTGTGTTTTTAAAGCCCTGAAATATGCCCAGGATTTATTTCAGGCAGCAAAAGAATAATTGGATCTTATATGTTATAGGATTGAACATAGCTAAAATGGACAGGGTATAACAGCTGCTAGCTTAAGCTCCATGTTGTCTTTTAATGATGCAGGAATAATTCCCTCAAGTCAGTTCTGGATACGTCATCTATAATGCAGCATGTGGGTCATGGGTAATTTCCTCACAAGTGTCTTATACCATCTCTTAGAGGAGTCATCCAACCATGGTTATGTCAAATTAATAGTAAAAAATATAAGCTTTATATCAGTTCAGTGAATACCGGGTGACGCTATGAAGATGCTGTAAGCCACTAGTAGGAAAATGTGTGTTTCTTTGTTTTGCAATGCCAAAGATGAACCAAGGATGTTACAATTCTACCCTGTCTCCTTGCGACCTACTAAACATCATACTGTATTTTCTCATTTGTTTGACAACACTTTCAGATCACGCTTGAGGGGAACTCTCACAGAATCTGTCTGCATCTATTGGCTGTGCAAATTGTCCCCAACAGAAGTGTCTTTAGACACAGAGAAACTGCATCTGACAGGGCCTTTTCTTTTCCTTCTCTTGAAGCTACATGAAAAGGACTGCCAGAGTTGCAGCATAATAATTTGCATCCCATGTATGCTTCCTATCAGCAGATCTGCTCTCTTTCCAGGTAGTTAAAGTATTTGCTTGCATACACAAACCTAAGATTAATTCCAACTACCTTTCTTGTCACAAATGGCACCAGAAACATTGAATAAGCTGGAAGCTGGTTAAGACAGTCCCAGCCTGGAGATTTTGACTAGGGCCACCTAGAAGATACCTCTTTCTGCAAGTAGCTCACAAGCCCATTTTTGTAAAGTCCTGTTTGCTTGAATTAACAGATCAGCTGTGTCCTTGTATAACACAGGGCTGATAAACCAGCTCAGTCTTAGTCTCTGGAGGAGCTTGATTATCACACAACCCCAGTTGTTTACTTTAGATTTTTGCTTCAGGTGGAAAAATATTCAAGGCCAGCTTATGATCTCCTTGAAAGTAGCTCGAAAAGTTGCTTATACACAAGTTTTGGATATTGTTCTTAGTGTAACATCAGTCCTGAGATGTATCTGCATAGCAATATTGGTTGAATAAGCCTATAATTTTAGTTTATTTTGATTGAAGTCATCTCTCAGACTATTTAAGAGTAGAACACCATTCCATTCTATTACATTTTAATGTACTGTGTTAGTCCCTGGCTTTGGTAATGTATGTATGTTGCACTGTTTCACTTCACTGGTTGGTGGTCATGTGGCAGGAGAGATTGGCTTAATGGCTATTCCTTTGTGGGTTGCCACAAGGGTAAGTTTTCTGCCCCTTGCTGTTTAACATTTACATAACACCACTGGAAGAGGTAATCCAAATGTTTGGGGTTCAGTATGCTGATGATCTGTTCCTCAGGCCAGACAGGAGATGCAGCTGAAGTCCTGCCCCAGTGACTGGAGGCTTGAAGGTCTGGATGGGTGAGAACCAGCTTAAACTGAATCCTAGTAAGACAGAGTTACTGTTTGTCCATCTGAACTCCGTCTGCTCCAGTGGTGTCTCTTGATGGGATGGCCTTACTCCTGAAGGAGCAGGTCCATGATGTGTGGCTTCTTCTGGACTGACTGCTTCTGCCACAACAGCAGATGGAGGTTGTGGTCAGGGTTTTTTCCCCCAGCTTCACTGATATGCCAGTTGCAACCCTATGTTGAGCAGGAGATCCTGCTACAATGACTCATGCGTTCATCACCACCTGCTTAGACTACTGCAATATGCTATACATGGGACTTCAGTTGGTCCAAAGCACAACTTGTGTGCTGATCAGCATTCCTCATTACCCCAAAGCTGTGGGCCCTGACTAGTTGCCAATAGGCTCCTGATGCAATTTAAAGTTATAGTATTAACCTATAAAATCCTACAAAGCTTGGTGCCTAGTTATCTGCAAAACCACATTCTCCCATTGGAATTGGCATGATCAGTTCAATCTACCTGGGAGAAACTATTACCATTGCCCCATTTTAGGAAGGTAAGGTGTGTGTGTGTGTGGGGGGGGGGGGGGTTAGGACTCAATGGTGCTGCTTTTCAGTTCCTGCATCAGTTTTTGGGAATGACCTTCTAGTGGACATCCAGCTGGCTCCCATCCAGCTGCTATCCAGAAACATAGATCTTCTAGAGGGCATTTAGGCCTTTGTTCCATCTTGGTTTGGTTATAGTTTGTTTTGGTTATTTTTTTATTCCATACTTTCATTAGTTTGTGGATTATATTTTTGTATATGTTTTGTTTATTATGTGTCTTTTCTATAAACCGTTGAAAGTCCTTAGGGGTTTGGCAGTCTATAAATATAAGAAATGATAATAATATAGTTAGCTTGTGACTACTTAGAGGACAGTTTTGATAGACAAGATGAACTAGAAGAAAAATCAGTGGCAAAATCTTTTTTTAAAATAATTTTTATTAAGAGATTTTACATAGGTAATAAGAACTACATTCAAAGAAAAATACTGAATATAGCAAAGTAAGTGTGAAAAAGAACAAAAGAAAGGAAAGGAAAGGAAAAGAAACAGAGAGAAAAGAAGATAGAAAAAAGAAAAAGAAAATAAAAAACCCAGAAAGCATATATAAAGAAATGGTTTCTGATATCCCTCTCGGCAGCTATACATACAATTCTAATCAAACCACTCTGTCCAATTTCATCAATATATCCTTCTTTCTATAACCTGTTCTTTCTAACCATCAAAACCATAAATCACAAAGTCATTTTCTTTCTCACACAAAAAGTCCATAAGCGGTTTCCAGTCATTGATGAATGTCAATGATGACCTTTCTCTAATCATGGAAGTCAGTTTGTTCCTCTCAGC